TTACATAATTACATGAAAATGTTCTTGAGTCATTACATAATGTGTTGTTTATAGGCCTTTTCTTTTATTCTTTCCTTGTCCTTCTTTTAATGAGTATTTTGATAACTGTTACACATTGATAGAAAAAAACAAATTAAGCTTCTCATTATTCAGACTCAGCTCTCAGCGCTTAAGCTTCTTTTAAATGTTGATAAAACCAAGGTAATGCTCTTTTCAAAAACTAAAAAGACACCAGAGCCTGTTTTAGATATTGTAACTACGCAAGGGATAAAACTTGAAGTGGTTACCTGTTACAAATACCTTGGTATCTGGCTTGATGATTGTCTCACTTTTAAACTTCATGTCAATAACCTGCTTAAAAAACTGAGGGTTAGGCTAGGTTTCTTTTCCAGGAACAAGTCCTGTTTCTCACTTGAGGCCAGAAAAAGGCTAGTCACTGTGACCTTTTGACCTGTGCTGGACTATGGTGATCTGATCTATATGAATGCACCTGCCAATTGCCTGGTCAAGTTAGATGCCGCCTATCACAGTGCACTGAGATTTGTGACAAACTGTAAAGTATTAACCCATCACTGTACCCTGTATGCAAGGGCAGGTTTGCCTTCACTAACTGTACGGAGGCTCAGTCACTGGTACATTTTTATATACAAAGCCATGTTAGGGAAACTTCCTTCCTACATCTGCTCCCTGATCTCACGGCGAATTGTAAGTGGCTACTGCCTGAGATCGAATGCTGTGGTTTTATTAAATGTGCCAACTGCTAGGACTGTCTTAGGGAAGATAGCATTTAGATGCGCAGCTCCGCTAACTTGGAACAGTCTGAGCAATTTGGTTCCACTAAATGTTTTTAAAGCAAGGATAGATGCTATCCAATCGGAAACTGTTGGAACCTGTAAATGTTACTAGCTATGTAAACTGTAGTCACTGTAAATATGCTGTATGATGTCCTTTTTTGTTTTTCTGTTATGTTTATATGTATTCATGTGGAACCTACTTGCAGCAGGTCACCCTTGAAAAAGAGATCAATGATCTCAATGGGATTCACCTGCATAAATAAAGGTTTGAAATTAAATGAAAGATTTTTTTTTATCAGAACATGCATTTCTCCTCATTGTGAACATATATTGCACTCATGTTCAGAATATATGGTACGTACATGGTCTTTTATAAATCTGAATATATATAGTGCATACATGTCCCCATATAATTGTGAATATATAGCGCATACATGTCCCCATATAATTGTGAATATATATAGTACATGTCCCCATATAATTGTGAATATATTCTGCATACATGTCCCCATATAAATCTGAATATATAGCGCATACATGTCCCCATATATTTGTGAATATATATAGTACATGTCCCCATATAATTGTGAATATATTCTACATACATGTCCCCATATAAATCTGAATATATAGTACATACATATCCCCATATATTTGTGCATATATATAGTACATGTCCCCATATAATTGTGAATATATTCTACATACATGTCCCCATATAAAACTGAATATATAGTACATACATGTCCCCATATATTTGTGAATATATATAGTACATGTCCCCATATAAATGTTAATATATAGTAAATGTATGTTCACATATATACACAACCAATATATTATATATATTTACATATATTACTCAATATATGGAAAGCGGCAATTACTGATGTATTATCCCATATATTACAATATATTATCACAATATATTATTCAATATATATATATTGTAATATATTAACACAATATATTATTCTATATATCTTCAATATATTTTCAATATATTTTGTAGATATGAATAAATATGTTTTTCATGTTGATTATTAATCAGTATCACTTGGTGTAGCCAACAGCAAGATTTCCTTTATTAAATCTTTTCAATTAACCAGTAAATCAGAAAACAAAATAATGCAATATATTGACAGTTAATATATGGGGAAATATATTTTCTTTGCGTAAGGGTTCTCACACACAAGCGTACGCACATTCGCACCAACAAAAACACACACACAAACGGAACAAAGCAGAAACAGAAACATGTATTTTTCTAGGCAAAACACACACTGACTGACTTCTCACGGACAATATGTTAACGGCACTAATGCGGCTTTCATACCAGCGCTTTTCCCTTTCTAGCTCCTAGCGAGAGCTTTTCTGGTTCAGCTCCGGTTTCCCTTTTCAGCTCCCGCTCTGTTCACACTGCCCAGAGCTGCCGCTGCTGCGTCATGACGTCACAGTTTACGTTGCTGATTTTCTCCCACAACAACAACGGGCCGGGGACTGCGTCGGGTCTATGATCGTGTTGCTTTTAATCATACGAAGCCAGATTAAATTAAATAACGACTTCTCCAACCTTATACTTTTCTCCAGAGTGCCGTGGTTCATTGTTTATTAATGTGTTTCAGCGGCATTTAGCGACCGCTGCAGTGCTGACTGCTCTTCCACGGGAGTTTATTCTCCCGTTAGCTCCGGGTTAGCTCACACGGCTCTAAAGTATTCACTGTCTGACTGTCACACAAGCAGCTGATACATATCCCCAGTTCCCCTTAAGTGAATGTGTGTCAGTCTGAATTGACGCTGTTCGGCATCACAACGCTGTTATGAAAGTTTCTCTGGTATAACATGGGTGATGTTAGCATAGCAACCGAAGCTAAACTGACTACTTGCTAAGCCGTTTTCTACAGGCACATTTTACCGGCGTATTTTTCATTATGATTCTACTTGTGATAGTCGGACATGACAACCTGTACAGCCCATGTATCTCCAATGATCAATAACAGCGAACGGATGGTCAAAGTAAGGTTTCCTGTACGCCTCGACGTAAGAGACGCCGCGTCATAGCTCCGAAGCTCTTGCCTCTGGACCGACAATTTTTTGGAGCTGGAAGTGAACCGCATTCCGGAGCATGACGCGCCGCCGCTGCGGTGTGAACAGGAAAAACCGGCGCTTTTCAGGCTCTAGCTCCGAGCAGGAGCTGGAAAAGCGCCGGTGTGAAAGGGGCATATATACCCGACTGATACCTCACGTCTTCGAGACGTTGCTAAAAACATTGCAGGAGAACGCCCCCTAAAGCTCTCCCTCACATGCCCCTTTCACACCGGCGCTTTGTGAGCTAACCCGGAGCTAACGGGAGAATAAACTCCCGTGGAAGAGCAGCCAGCACTGCAGCGGTCGGTAAATGCCGCTGAAACACATTAATAAACAATGAACCACGGCACTCTGGAGAAAAGTATAAGGTTGGAGAAGTCGTTATTTAATTTAATCTGGCTTCGTATGATTAAAAGCAACACGATCATAGACCCGACGCAGTCCCCGGCCCGTTGTTGTTGTGGGAGAAAATCAGCAACGTAAACTGTGACGTCATGACGCAGCAGCGGCAGCTCTGGGCAGTGTGAACAGAGCGGGAGCTGAAAAGGGAAACCGGAGCTGAACCAGAAAAGCTCTCGCTAGGAGCTAGAAAGGGAAAAGCGCTGGTGTGAAAGCCGCAACAGAGCTGAACTGACCAATCAGAATCTGGGTCCCGCCTGCTTCATTTGCATATGGCTGACTAGTCAACGTGTTGGCCATATGAACGGCAACTAGTTAACTAGTGGATACATATTGCAGCTTACACGTTAACTAGTGAAGGCAAAATGTTCACTAGTTAACTAGTTGAAGCCTCTTTTAGGTGTATATCAGTATGTAGTGTCTCTACTTTAAAGAGTCCTCTCCTGCTGATGTTCAGGTGTATATCAGTATTTATTACATGGCTTAGTTGAATACTCGATTCCGATTGGTCAATTTAGAACACGTGACACGTTGTTAATCCAGAACAGACAGACCGCTGTCAAGGATTTATTGACCGTTGTTAAGGACGCTCACATCTGCACAAACAAGTCCGGTCGATTGAACTGTATACAGTTTGGCCGAAAAGCAAACTGCGACAAGAGCGACAAGAAAACAGCGGAGAAGTAACGGGCAGAAACCCTCCTTTTTACGCAGCGGTCCAGACATAGACATCAAACAGCGACACATATTCAGTTGCCAGTTACTTTGGCATTAGGGCAGGGATATCTAGATACTTTCCAAGGTTTGACATAATGAATTGTGCTAATTTTAAAGCAAGCAACGATGTTTTCAAATCTGTAATCAAAAAGCTCCGCCTTCCTGCCGTTGCGTTGCTACGTTTTTTTTTTCAAACGGTAACAACGGACTATTTTCCTTAGCGGATGCATGTCAATTTAAATCAATACATGCAACTATTTTTTAAATCAATAAAATCATTTTCTAAATCCATAAAAGCATTTCAATTAATATTGGGAGTCATATCATTACTTTGTTGAGAATGTGGCCATGTAATAATCGGGATAATGTGCAGCGACGCGGTCATTATGGGGAAAAGAACACCGACAGGCTGATCAGGAGCCTGACGCGAAGCGGAGGGATCTTGATCCCCATAATGACCGCGTCGCTGCACATTATCCCTTAGTAGTGTCTCTACTTTAAAGAGTCCTCTCCTGCTGATGTTCAGGTGTATATCAGTATGTAGTGTCTCTACTTTAAAGAGTCCTCTGACACAGGGATTTTAGCGTTTACAGATCATTTACATGCACTAAAACCTTTATAACAAACTACAGGGAAGGGAAAACCCCTAAAAGAATAATAGGGCCTCTTTAAAGAAACACATGAAAAAAGAAAATGACAAGCACAGATACATTTCCCAGATAAAAAGTCTGAATTTTCACAAGATGTTGATCGATGAAATTAGTCAAATATATAACGAGAGAGTGTTGTATTGTAAAAATAAAAATGAAATTATAATGCTTTCTTACACGGCACTGTTAGGAGGATAAAGATCTAATCTGAGACTGATTTTGACCGGTAGGGTGCAGGATGTGTTGTTGCGTCTGACTACAGATCATAAAAGATGCCCAGAGGAGGGAACCATGATAACTTATCAGACAGACCTACATTAGAGGATTCCACTTTCTCACATGCACACACCTGCATTCAGACATCTTGCAGCGACATCCAGTCAACAGTAAGTTATTGTTTCCTCTCGATATATTTATTAACTTCTGTTAGCTCAACTCTCTCATTTGTTAGTTTCCTCAATGTTTTTTTTTCTTTTTTTGGACTTGCTTCATCAGTTTAAACAAGGATTATGTTTGATTTTATTGTGATGGTGATTTTTAGAGCTGCAACAGTAAGTCGCCAACTATTGTGATAATGGATTAATCTTTAATAGTGGTTTTTCGTGCCAAAGATTTCAGAAAATACTTTTTTCAGACCCAAATATGGAGTTTTCCTGCTTTTCTCTAACATATCATAAAGTGAATAGCTTTGGGTGTTGTACTGACGAATAAAAACATTAAGACATCATCTTGGACTTGGAATTGACATTATAACTATTTTCGGATATTTTATAGACCAATTACGCTATGAATATAATGACCTCAAAGACACAGACAAAGACCATTAAGAGACACACAATGACCACAAAGAGACACTACATCTCCACAAAGACACACTAAATGTCCTCAAAGACACACACAATGTCCTCAAAGACACACACAATGACCACAAAGAGACACACAATGAACAACTATAATGTGCATGTTTGTCAGAAGGAATTGTCATATATTGAAATTATTATATTAATCAGTTAGTAGACTTTATTTTCATCAGATCATCTCTTGTAGCAGAGTAAAATCAAAGCCAGTTTATTTTGTCTCATAAACTAGTCTCATAAAGTGTATTATCTTTATGATAGGTCTGAGGTGAATATGAGGTTGAGGTTAACAGCTTTGTCAGTAGTTGAGTTTGGGACAGTGAATCTGTTTCATTCTGTTGGTTGTGGAAGAGCCAGGCTGAGTAAAGTTACGTTTCCAGGGTCAATGGTTGCAGTCATAAGCTTTGCTGTGCTGCATGTCAAAGGAGTGGCTTCGTTGCTCTTAATGTTAGCTAACAAAGTCAAAGTCAAAGTCAGCTTTATTGTCAAAAATTCTACATGTGTTGTACATCCAGAAATATCGAAATATCGTTTCCCGCAGTCCACAGTGTGACATGTATACATAAAACAAAACGGGCCTAGATAAGCGTGGTATGCAGTTTAAAATGTCAATAATATATTTAAAGTGTTCAAAGAACAGTTTCAGTGCAGTAGCAGCGGAGATGGGCAGAAAAAGTGACTGGTGCTGGATGAGGGAAGGTTGTGTGTGTGTGTGTGTGTGTGTGTGTGTGTGTGTGTGTGTGTGTGTGTGTGTGTGTGTGTGTGTGTGTGTGTGTGTGTGTGTGTGTGTGTCTCTGTGTGTGTGTGTGTGTGTGTGTGTGTGTGTGTGTGTGTGTGTGTGTGTGTGTGTGTGTGTGTGTGTGTGTGTGTGTGTGCAACCCTGTCTCCTAAAAATTACGTTCCCACAGAACTAAACTGCATTCTCAATTACGTTTAGCTAGAAACATATTTTCTCCCACGTTACGTTTGTTATGAACGTATCTCAAATACGGTTATTTTCTAGATATCTTTGCCATTTATTGTCTTGCTTATGATAAGGATAATAGTCATTTATAAATATCATTTTAGAGCACACATTTGAAATCGACGATCGGGCTCGATATATGGTTAAATTAAAATCAGTAATGTGTCATTTCAACACAGTCTCAAAGGCAATGTGAGCGTCCATTCCCATTGGATAACGGAGGATTTTACACCCGGAAGTAAGTATTCTCTTTACTGTCGATTAATTTGACAGTGATATCTGCACTACTCATCAACTCAAAAACACCAGATTATCCTTGTTAATTACACAACATTTATTGGTTTAAATTATGTACAATACTTTTGTATTTTTCCCCTTCGATTCGGAGAAACAAATATTTTTTCGGAGTTTAGGATGGCAGAAGACACTACACTACCCAGAATCCTCAGCTATCGTTTGGGACTACACCATGTGCTTTGCTTGACAAACCCCGTGATTAGTCTTCAAGCTCTGTGATTGGATGTTGGAGTGGCAGTGCGCGAAGTTTACACCGAGCGTGGAATGAAATGGAATGAAACCCATCGATGGCACACTATTCAAACAGGAATAGTCCCCCCCCCCCTCCTTAGGTCACAGGCTCCTCAAACAGTGCAACCCAATAAAACAGATACACAGAAAGAATAGTGCAAGTAAATACAAAAATAAAAATGGTAAAATAGTAAAAAAGTTAAATAGTGCAATAAGAGTCTATATACAAGTGATTGGAATATGATATATTAGACAAATCATTTCTAAGTAGCAGCCAGATGAATGTCATGGATGTTGTTTCTAAGTGCAGGTGTTTAATAGTCTTATGGCCTGTGGGATGAAGCTGTCCCTGAGTCTGGTGGTTTTAGTCCGGATGCTGCGGTACCGCCTGCCAGACGGCAGCAGACAGAACAGTTTGTGGCTGGGGTGATGGGGGTCTTTTATAATCCTGAGGGCTTTCTTTAAGGTTAACCTGGTATTTTTACTCCACTACATTTATTTTAGTTACTTTGCAGATTCTGATTGATGATGTGAAATATAAACAACCCTTAAATCAGACTTTAGTTACACCTGAGTAAATTTCAGTGAAGGTGATTGTCAAGTGCCAACAATCAGGAGAGATATTAGATAGTTGGTGCTTGAGAAGACTAAACATTTATCTGCAGATCTCTATAAAGTATATTCATTACTCGTTATTCTCTACTAATAGTTAATTAAAAACTGTATATAATGGCTATTTTGCATATCCCTTTCAAGATTTCATGATTTTCTAAGGTTTATTGACATATCATATACACAACTACGGTGTAGTTATGCAATGAATGAAAAACTTGGGTCACAGGTTCCTCAAAAGTGCATTACAAGACATCTATCAATATGTGTGTATACCTCCACCATTAAACTGTCAAATTCTGCACATGTCTTATACTATCTACATACATAAGAGTATAATTAATGTTTATAATATCAGTTAAAATAAGTGCTTCAACATAGATAACATTGCAGGAAAGCAATATATTAGACGTTAAGTACTTTGTCAGGCTTAATATTTATCTGTAAATACCCCCAAATACCTTAACCTAAAGCATTCTTTAATGTGTTAATAAAGGTTAATTAGTTTGTCTGTTTGGCACATCCTCCTATTAATATCTTTATACATCCAGCACTAAACTGTTTTATTGTAGAGATCATTTACAGTATCTTCTTGATTTTTTATATTCTATATTTCATCAGATTTATATCATTGACCTTCTACTTTCCCCCTATGAAAGTATGTACTCTTAATATTTTTTTCATCAAATAACATTATTCAACAAAAATAATTCAATAACGTGCTTTAACCACTAGGCGGTGCACACAAGGTACACACAGCATACTAATAATAACTTTGTATTATTAGTGTAGGACACTTATGTATGTATAACATCTGAAGATGTGTAGTTTTATTCATGTTTTTACATAATTTTACAGGATATTGCTATACTATTTCTCATGTTTTACTTCTACACATTAATATCTGATTTGTAAAACATCACAGACAGAAAGGTATATCCGTCATTTAATGGTAAGCTATTGAAATTGTGATTCCATAGATGTGTCTCCCATCACCTAAATCCCCTGACTATTCACTCAACTCAGTATTTACATTCTTATATTCAAAGAAAATCAGTAATATCTTTAGAAACTACAAGTCCTTTTCTATCAGCTGTGCACCGTTATGATGTAAATATAACCTATCTACCAATTGGATCAAATATAAAAGTCAGCCGAATTACTATTGATACTGCAAGGAGACGTATTTTGTGAAAATAAATGTAAGATATTGTGTAATTGTTGATATATTTATGATCCACGTAACGTATTCAGTTTCGGCGGCACTTCTTCCAGTTTGTCCAGAAGTCTTCTCATCAGGGCTATATAAATAAAGAACTACGGCAGATGTGTAATATTTAATGCAGCCGAACCGTGTATTACAATGCTGTTATGTGATGACTTCCAAAGAGAAAAGCAAGAACACTCGGCATAAAGACTTATTTTATTTTTAACCTGTTAAGCCCTGAGCGTGTTTTTCAGGTCTCAGGCTCGAAAATGACATTCCCAGAACAAAAAATAATTTTGTACTTATAGTGAAAACCACCCTTGGATGATGGTAAGGTAGACTAAAAGCTTTAGGAATCCAAAGTACAACATATAATAAATACCCTGTATCAAGATTGATGCAAAACAAGTGACATTTGACCTTTTTAGAGAGATTTAGCAAAAATAAACCACTTCTGGGGTCATTTGGGTGGATTTTCCATATCTCTGGCCCCCCTTGCTCGATTTTGATGGTTGACACCTCTTTCTGACCGTTAGAGACAATATAATTGAAGGGGGAGTCCCACACACACACGTTGTGAAGAGAAAAGGTGGGGGCTTCGCGCATGTAATTTTGCATCAGAGTGAACCTATCTCTAGCTTTGACATCTGGAAACGGAAAAGCAGTTTTAATGCTTATGGATTATCAGAAATCATTTCAAAGGGACACAAACACATTAGATTAACCTATGGATTAACTTCAGCAGCGTTTTTATCGTTCTAATGCCATTGAAGACCACTTTGGAGAGACTACAGAGCCAAGGTAAAAATGTTAGCATTTTTAGCTACCTAGCGTCACCTGTTTTGATGTCCGTTTTTGCTTATAGCGTCGCAAATACGTATAATTCAGTGGTAATGTCAGTGTCAATAGATTCTGTGTCACCTCACGATGTGAATCGATGTGTTGGATGTGGTGAAAAGATAAATAATAAGGTTTTGTGAGTGATTTTCGGTGCAGTAAGGTGTTTTTCGCTCGTTGCTAATTCAGAGGCTCAGTTTTAGCATTGTGGGTTTTCTTTTGAAAAAAAAAAAAAAATGATCAGTTAGATGAGTTTCTTCCCGTGACATGGATATAAAACATTCATAGTTTTATTAAATGAACATGCCCTCAGACACTGTTCCCTGCAAGATGCTGCGGCAGTGCCCCGGTACCGGGGTCTCTCGGGCTTAACAGGTGAACTTAACTTAACTTAACTTAATGTGTTCAAATGTGTGCTCTAAAATTATATTTATAAATGACTATTATCATTATTATAAGCAAGACAATAAATGGAAAGATATGTAGAAAATAAACGTATTTAAGATACGTTCATAACAAACGTAACGTCAGAAAAAATACGTTTCTAGCTAAACGTAATTGAGAATGCAGTTTAGTTCTGTGGGAACGTAATTTTTAGGAGACAGGGTTGGTGTGTGTGTGTGTGTGTGGGGGGGGGGGGTTAAAGTACAGGACCATTTGGGGCAGGGGAGAAGGATGGGAGGCAGGGTGGAGAGTTCAGGGGAGAGATGTCAGAGAGGGGGAGAGAGGGAGGGAGGGAGGGAGGGAGGGGAGAGAGTTCAGCATCCTGACCGCCTGGTGGAGGAAGCTGTTCCTCAGCCTGATGGTGCCCGAGCTGAGGCTGCGGGACCTTCTTCCTGAAGGCAGGAGGCTGAAGAGGCTGTTGGAGGGGTGGGTGGAGTCACCCACAATGCTGAGTGCTTTGCAGGTGAGGCGGGTGTTATATATGTCCTGTAGTGATGGGAGTGAGGCACCGATGATCCTCTGGGCAGAGTTCACTATGCGCTGCAGGCTCTTTCGGTCGGAGGCGGTGCAGCTTCCGAACCACAGCGTGATACAGCTGCTGAGGTTGCTCTCAGTGGCGCCTCGGTAAAAAGACAGTATGATGGGGGGTGATGCTCCGGCTCGCTTGAGCTTCCGGATGAAGTACAGGCGCTGCTGGGCTTTCTTCGCTAGTGCGGTGGTGTTGTTTTCCCAGGTGAGGTCATCAGTGATGGTCACACCAAGGAATTTGGTGCGGGTCACCTGCTTCACAGCAGCGCCGTTGATGGTCAGGGGGAGAGGGGGTCGGCGGTGGGTTCTCCTGAAGTCAACAACTATCTCCTTTGTTTTCTCCAGGTTGAGGAAGAGGTTGTTATTTTGGCACCACAGGGCCAGCTGGTTCACTTCCTTCCTGTAGTTAGTCTCATCGTTGTTGCTGATGAGACCCACCACAGTAGTGTCGTCTGCAAACTTCATGATGTGGTTAGAGCTGAAGTCGGGTTTGCAGTCGTGGGTCAGCAGAGTGAAGAGAAGGGGGCTGAGCACACATCCTTGGGGTGCCCCCGTACTCAGTATGAGGGTGTTTGAGGTGTTGTTGTTGACCCGTACAGCTTGTGGTCTCTCTGTGAGGAAGTCCAGCAACCAGTTGCAGAGAGAGGGGCTGAGGCCCAGGTCTGTACGTTTTTGTACAAGCTGCTGGGGGATGATAGTGTTGAATGCTGAGCTGAAGTCTATAAATAGCATTCTGACATATGGGTCCTTAGTCTTAGTCTTAGCCTTAGTGTTAGTGTCCAGGTGTGTGAGGGCTGGGTGGAGTGCGGAGGAGATTGCATCCTCTGTGGACCGTTTAGCTCGGTAGGCAAACTGAAATGGGTCCAGTGATGGGGGGAGGGTGGATTTGATCTGCTTCATGACCAGCCTTTCGAAGCACTTCATGATGGTGGACGTTAGTGCGACGGGGCGGTAGTCGTTGAAGCCGGATGGAGATGACTTCTTTGGCACTGGAATGATGGTGGTTTCCTTGAAGCACGAGGGAACAACAGCCTGGCTCAGGGAGATGTTAAAAATGTCTGTGAGGACATCTGTGAGTTCTTCTGCGCAGTCCCTCAGCACACGACCAGGAATGTTGTCAGGTCCTGCAGCCTTGCGGGGGTTAATCCTCAGCAGTGTGCTCCTCACACTGGCTGGTGAAAGATGCAAAGCCTGGTCGTCGGTGGGGGGGGGTGGTTTTCTGCGCAGGTGTGTTGTTCTGTGCTTCAAAGCGTGCAAAGAAGCTGTTGAGGTTGTTGAGCAGGGACAGGTCAGCCCTGGCTGCTTTCAGCCCAGCTGGATCTCCAGCTCTGAAGGTGATGTTGCGGGCCTTCAGCAGCATGTGGACCTCCCCTGTCAGCCATGGCTTCTGGTTAGCCCGGATGGTGATGGCTCTGTTTTGTGTCACATCGTCAATGTACTTGGTGATGTAGCCCGTGACTGTCTCTGTGTATTCTTGTATGTCGGTGTGATGGTTGTATGTGGCTGCCTGCTTGAACATGTCCCAGTCTGTAGTGTCAAAGCAGTCTCTGAGTGCAGCTGTGCTGTCCTCTGACCACACCCGAACCTGTTTTGAAACCGGTTTTGTGGCTTTTACCCTGGGTCTGTAGGCCGGTTCCAGCAGAACAGTGAGGTGGTCAGAGAGGCCGATGTGGGGGAGGATGCCTTGTATGCTCCCTTGATGTTGGTATAGACCAGGTCTAATGTGTCTTTCCCCCTGGTTGGAAAATCAACATGCTGATATATTTTAGGCAGCACAGTTTTAAGTTAGCGTGGTTGAAGTCTCCAGCTACGATGAGTAGGCCGTCTGGGTGTGCTGTCTGTTGCTCACTGACGGCTCGGTACAGTTCACTGAGTGCCTCCTCTCTCCCCTCTTTGCTGGCGTTTGGGGGGATATATACAGCTGCCACAAGAATCACTGTAAACTCCCTCGGCTGGTGAAAAGGACGGAACCATAAACTCCACCAGTGGCGAACAGTGTTTGCTAACAACAACAGTGTCTCGACAACAAGCGCCACTGATGTACACACACACACCGCCGCCGCGAGTCTTATTCCCCCTGTTATCTTTGTTCCTGTCTGCTCGGTAGCATGTTAGCTTGTCTAGCTGAATAGCGGAGTCCGGGATGTTGTTGTGGAGCCATGTTTCCGTGAACACGTAAACACAGCAGTCCCTCACCTTACGCTGGGTTGATCGTAGTAGACGTACGTTGTCCATCTTGTTGTCCAGTGAACGGACATTTGCCATAAGTGTTGGAATTGCCGGCTTGTGTGGGCTAGCCGCTAGCCTAGCCCGGATACCTCCACGTTTCCCCCTCTTCTGCTTCCTCTCACGCCGCCTTCGGCGTCTCCTTTCCGGGTGGGGCTCGACACGAGACGGGTAGCAGAGGAGCTCCAGGAAGCTGAGTTACTCGGCGAGTTTAGCTTCCAAATTGAAGAAAGTAGAGATTTTTCCAAGAAGAAACTCACGGCTGTATTGTTGTCCTTTACGATATAAGTCCAACGGACATGACGAACAAAGTGACAAACTCGACAGACGTGACGAACAAGACTAAAACACTGTTTTTTTCAGACCGCGAGGGGCCGCTGCGACTGCTCGCGCCGCCATCTAGTCTAAAGACAAGTTATGTGTGCTAGCGCTAAACTAGCTTACGTTGGAAATGTACCCGCGTCCTTTAACATCAGTAAAATAGTTAGTTGTGTCAGTCGTGATGTATCATGACCTCACCCATACGTCGCAAATTTTCGCCGCAACGCCCCTTACAAGAACAATGGTGGACTGCATGGGGTCGATGCTGTTGTTGCTTTTTTAACCTTAGGTGATTACATAATGTAGTGCCTGGGAGCTTAAACTGGACCTATCATGCTATATTTAAATTATATATTGTAGGGCCATAAGGTATATTTATACGTTTCTGTTTTCAAAATACCAAACAGATCATGCATTTTAGCCATGCCTCATTTCGCTCTATGTGTTGTTTGCTGTCTACGGGTCTGATTCTGCTGACCACGCGCCCCTGCAGGAGAGGGGAGACGTGCTCTGATCAGCTGCTGGGCTGTCAGAAGAGGGGGAGAAAAAGAGATCTCCGTCCTCCGTGTTTTATTATATAGAGTCGTTATTCATTTGTTTTAAAGCTCAATAAATAACAAAGAAGACCTTTGACCGGCACTTTTCTAATTTTGGAGGAAAATAGAGAGGGTTGTGTTTTCTGACACTTGGTGAGTTCCCTGGAACACCCGGGAAACATATTCATGTATAAAAGACGTACAAAAGTGCATTTTGCATGATAGGTCCCCTTTAAGTTCATGGCTCAGTTCTCAGGGTCCCAATATCGCCCATGCCATTATTGTCAGATTGTATGTCAATCAGTTTGTTCCTTGTCCCTCCAGGAGATCATGGACCTCATCAAACCCCTCCAGAGCATCTACTTCATGTTCGACAAGATGAAGGACAATAATCAGACCTGCCCTCACGTTCTGGAGAGACTCAAAGCCCTGGAGAAACTGGCTCTTTTCATCCTACAGAAGGAGTCGGAGCAAATCTCCGATGACGTGAACGAAGCGTTGGGGAAACTCAACAAGGTTCTGCTGTCAGCTGATGAGCTCATCAAGAAATTCATCAAATCCTTGGAGCAGACATTCAACGTGAAAGACTACAAACCAGAGTTCGAAACCCTGAACAAAAGCCTCACTGATGCCTTCGTGACCCTCTCAGCGGCCCTGCATGCCAAACAGGGGAAGATGCTGGACAAGCAAGAGACACAGCTCACTGAGCAGGAGAGCATGCTCAATGAGCAGAAGGTCATGCTCAGTGAGCAGAAGGTCATGTTGAAATGGCAGAAGAAGAAGATGACCGAGACTGGGAGGAAGCTTGCAGAGCAGGATAGGAAGATGGCGGAGCAGGATCGGAAAATGGCGGAGCAAGATATGAAGCTGGCAGAGCAGGAGAGGAAGCTGGGCAAGTTAGAGGACATGTTGCAAAGAGTGGAGACAAAGTTAGTGTGTGAGAGTAGAAGAAACTGCCCTATTCTGTAATGAAGGAGCATCAGAGTCAGTTGTACAAAATGGAAGGAATTTGCAAGGTTTATGTTCTTTAATGATACTATCATGTTTAGAAGTAGACCCAAGAGCAAAAAACCTCCTTTTTCTGACCTGAAAAAATCAATTATTTAAAATTTCTACTTTTCTGTTTTCTGTCTTTTCTGATTTCTACAGTTTGCAGACGATGTCCTCCTTCTCACTGGCAATAACATCATGAGGCTTAAAGCATTTTATAGAGAATGAAAATATCGTTGCCAACAAACGGACATCACATGTAATTTGTTTACTATACATTTTGATGTATTTTCAAGATCATAAGTACGTTCCATTACCATATAACTCCTGCTCCTTGCATTACAATGATAACGAAGAGAGTTAGAGCCACATGTGGATTTTTTTAGGAGATCTGCCCAAAAGTGACTAACCAGTGTTGTAACAACAGAAGAAAACTGAAAGAGGAGTGCTCTGTAACAAGCAGGTTATTTTGTTGGAGTTTTATAGAAAGGAAGGATACTTTTTGATCATGGGTCTCAATGTTTTACAGGCAGGGTTGCCAAATTAAGTTTTATATTAAACTGGGCCTGCCATAAAATGTAATGCCATGTATAAACGATGATGTTCATGGAAGATTTGACACTAAGATAGTAAAATGATAAAACGTAGCCGTAGTTAACTGCTGTTATTAATTAACAATGATACAAAGTCCATTACAAATAAAACAATAAGATACATTAACCTGCCTACAACTTAACTAAATGAAAGTGAACTACTTGTGTTTGTGTTTTCTTGCCTGCTGTTTATCATTACCACTTACAACAGGATAGTTTATAATGAGACTAGATATTTCTTATTTTATAAATCCTGTTATGTATCCCTAAATTATTTTTGATCCTTTGCTGCTTTCACCTTTGAGCTTTGCAACAACTTAATATCCCCCGTCTCGGATCAATGCATTTCTTATCTAATCTTTTAGGAGATTGTTGAGGACAAAGTATTTTTCGGCTGGCTTGACGCACAATTAAACATACAAATATAGTGTAATTGCCTTTAGCAAATGCTGATTAATAAATGTTCAAGCATCTCTCGCTCACTGACAGATCTTCAGAGACACGACTGAGGAGTGACGGAACCAGCTCACCTTTTCAGAGGATTTTTTTTACTATCTTTAACCCTCCTGTTGTGTTAGTTTCCCCTCCTTTCTTTGGTGTTCCCGATCAAATTTGACCGGTCCTGTTTTAAATGCTCTTACATTAACACAAAAAACATTAATCATCACCAAATGTTATTTAACACCCTTTCAAACTGTAAACAATGTATCAGAATACTGGTAAACATTTTTGGGTATTTTTGTGATTTGATTAACATTTATTGTAGAAAAAGAAAGAAAATCAAATCAAAACATCAACAATAATAGTCGTGTATGTATCTGTGTGTGTTTGTCTGCCAGAGGCCTGTACTACGAAGCCGGATTTTCCTAACCTGGATATGTTTGAGTTAGCCGGTTGGCCCAATCCAAAACATACGCGCTCTCGCTAAACTGTACTACGACGCTGGTTATCAAGTGGATCGCTCAAGCCAGCCATGTCCTATATAGTTAGGTGCGCGTTCACATGAAAGGGGTGGTATTTGGAGCATTCGACCAATCTCAAACATGGACAAGCGTACTGACAGCGCAGCGTCATACTTCCTGAATGAAAAGTGAACTTTAATATTAGTCAAATATGAAGAAGTTAAACTTTAAACATCCATGACTTAAACACTTTATTCAGGATAAAAGCCACATAGCTGCACCTGCAAGGTGAATACAGCTGGTAAAAGAAAAAGCGTTTGAGTGTTTCGTCAACTTAATGTGTTGCTTAAAATAATACTTCTGCATCCAGTATGTGACACTGTGAGTGTTGCACGGCCAGATACGGCTCAAGAAGCTGACTCAAATAAGGAAATATATGGTACATTATGATGTGATATGATATGAATGATAATGGGACACATCGACGTCTGCACTCACAGTGCCGCGGACTGTACTTAATGTTACTCTGATCCGGTTACTTATGTTGTGGCAGATATTTAAGTAAGCTTTCTTAACGCTAATGTTATAATAGTCAGATTGCTCTGAAGATGGGAGGGGATATTCTATTAATTTTCACGTTCACACAGTCAGTTGATTTTTGTCGGCCGTCTTTCCTGCAACGGCAGTTTTTCTGTATTTCCTCTATCCTGTAATATGACTTGATAGCTTTAAACTCCGCACACGGAGCTCTGATTGGTCAGCAGGCGGTGCTTTCACTAAGTTGATCTCTTAGCCTGCAACCTAACCTCCTCCCGAGGAGGTTAGCCGCTCAGCATAAGTTACCATGGAGATCTAGCCCGCTAAAAAGAGAACCAGCGTTGTAGGACCGGAAAGCCCGAGTTTTCCCTGAAGTCAGCCGGCTAAGCGAAAATCCGGCTTCGTAGTACAGGCCTCAGGTGTGGTTAACGTGGGAGCTAGGGCACATAAGAGCGGGAAACACTGTGTGTGTGTGTGTGTGTGTGTGTGTGTGTGTGTGTGTGTGTGTGTGTGTGTGTGTGTGTGTGTGTGTGTGTGTGTTGTGTGTGTTGTGTGTGTGTGTGTGTGTGTGTGTGTGTGTGTGTGTGTGTGTGTGTGATTGTGTGTGTGTGTGTGTGTGTGTGTGTGTGTGTGTGTGTGTGTGTGTGTGTGTGTGTGTGTGTGTGTGTGTGTGTGTGTGTGTGTGTGTGTGTGTGTGTGTGTGTGTGAACGTTATGCACGTATCTCAAATACGTTTATTTTCTACATATCTTTGCCATTTATTGTCTTGCTTATAATAATGATAATAGTCATTTATAAATATCATATTAGAGCACACATTTGAAATCGACAATTGGGCTCGATATATTGTTAAATTCAAATCAGTAGGCGAGGCTGTAATTTTGCCAACTCTCATGAGCGAGGCAGAACATAATTGTTTTATCATGCCAAAAAGCTGCTGGGTCGGTTGTTATTGTCAATATTAATATAATAATAATTTATTTTTAATAGTCACAGTCGATTTCGCCGATGTTCTTGTTGCCCCAGCTGGTCGACACCTCTTTTAGCAGAAACAAAGGCTACATTAATGTATTAAATCGATGTTAATCCATGTGTGTGGATGTGGAATTAACAGACGTGACGTTGTGCGATTGCGTTGCCAGGCAACAGCTTCGGTTCATGTTAATTTACAAACTCTTCAACTAGAACCCTAGTTATATTTAAAAACATTTTAGAAGGCCTCACGAAATACTTTAATGTAAATTAAAATTAAAATGTGAAGGAATGTGTGTATAACAAAATACATCCGTCATAAACAATACCGGAAACAGACGTAGGAAAGATCCTCAGCTCGGTGATTGGATATTTTAGCCGCAATGCACGTTGGGATATGGTGTTTATACGATGTGAAATCCGAAAACATTTTTAAAAACTAAAATAATACTTTATTCCGAGTGTGCTTGCTTTTCTCTTTGAAAGACATCACATGAAATGCATTGTACTACACAGTTCGGCTGCATTGAATATTACACATCTGCCGTAGTTCTTTATTTATAGAGCCCTGATTAGAAGACTTCTGGACAAACTTGAAGAACTGCCGCCGAAACTGAATATGCGATGTGGATCATAAATATATCAACAATCAAACAACATCTTACATTTCTTTTCACAAAAGTTTCAACACTACAGATGGAGCCTCTTATTTTGGACGCCAGCATACAGCTTCCTGCCTACTGCCAGCCAGTTACCTGCCTAAGACCTGCCAAAGACCAGTATCCAGGAATGTTAGGCCCTCCCACTATTCTCCAATTTCAGGGTTTAACCAGGAGATGGCGCTATATATTAAATAACTAAGACTTAGTTTTTCACAATAGAAAATGCAGATATTATATAAAAAACTAAAGTTAAAATCTTGTTTTTAATGCCCCAAGAGCAATAACATCTTGTCACAAGCTTTTTGGAAGAAAAAGACTGACCCAAGAGACCTGTAGTTGACTAATTACAGGCCTCAATAAAGTTCTGCCATTGGTTGTGAAAAACAACGGTGGACATAGTGGAAAGTGAAATTGACATTGTCGAATTTAATAAAAATACAAAATAATGTATCTGTGTACGTGTTTTACTATGTGATCTGCACTTATCAAACATCTAATTAAAGAATGGTAGCTGTACCTCTCAAACAACCTAAACTAGTTATAAATGTTTATTTTAAATAAAGTCTTTATGACTCGGAATATGAATAATATGGGCCCGTTACAGTTTGTTTTCATCTGATTTCAAATAAACAAAGTCTTGGCTTTCAGAATATTAAACTTGTTTCGGCAAATTTAGATGATAAATACAACTATGAAGCTTGTAACGGCATAATTACTTAAGCGGAGAACGGAGTAAGTAAACGTTACAGCAGGCATAACAACAGCCGGTGTTTATTTTATTATAATATATAGTCGTTTTATTATACAACTATATATGTAGTTTTATAATAATATATAGTTTTATTATAATATATAGTCGTTATTCATTTCCTATAATATATAGTCGTTATTCATTCGTTATTCATTTGTTTTAAAGCTCAATATATAGTTTTATTATAATATATAGTCGTTATTCATTTGTTATAAAGCTCAATAAGGAAGATTGAACTTTAAACTTTCACACACGTTGACCGGCGAAAAACTCTGCCCGGTTCACCGACCCCCCTCTGAGTGAATACCCAAGATATCTTGGTTTGATTTGGAGAAGGCTTTTAAAGTATACTAACTCTAACTCTATTGTATACTAACTCTTCCCGTCAAGAATATGAATAGAACTTAGATAGATCACTTTACATTTCTGCGAATGAATAGCTTAGCTACTTGGCACTAAGAGTACAGATATGTCTACCCTTTCTTTTCAGAGTGTAATATCTGCATTTTCTCTTTTGGTTTGAATAGGAGAAGGGCAATGGTTATCGATGGTGCTTTTAATGCCTATTGTATACGAACTGTGTGATTTATATTGCTTTTCAAATGCATATAAGCCCCCCATTTACACTGCACTTCCCCGTCAAGAAAATGAATAGCACTTAGTTAGATCACTTTACAGATCAGGTTGGACCAGCCCTGTCGCTACTCTCTGCATTTCCTACTGCAGATAAAAAAAAAGCTACAAATATGTATTTCTTAATAACTAAATAGGCCACCATTGGTAGCAGTTCTCATTATATACTTCTCAGTAACTGCTCCCCTTAAATTAAATGTATTCTGTAGAGAAATGTAAACGTTCACCATCCCCCACCCGCCTACTGTATGTTGCTTTTTGACATGTAAATGGGTAACTACCCCCCTCTGAGTGAATACCTGTTGTACCTGTCCGGGGCTAAGCCCATAGGACGATGCTCTGATGTCATCACCCTCGCACATTGGTCATATGTTTACAAAAAACGATGTTAACACTTTCTCGTTCTTAATATATGCTATATTTAGGGTCGATATGTGTTGAATTTACTTTAAAATAGCAGATCACTGTGATTCACTTCTCCGCGGCTCCTCCGTGCAGAGAGGCCCCCCCCCGTTGACAATTCACGAGCGTCTAACTCTCTCCCCCCTCCCCCGTCGCACCTTCTAACAGAACCCCCCCCCCATATCAAATCCCAATTTATTCATATTCTGAGTCATAAAGACACACACACACACACACACACACACACACACACACACACACACACACACACACACACACACACCCCGAG